GAAACTCTGTACAGACAAGACAATTATCATTAATGCAACAAATTTCAACAGCATTACCCTCACATGTATCAGAACCTGAGTCTTCATCAGACAACCCATATGCCACGTGTGCTTCTTTGATCTGTTGTTTAAAAGCACACTGATTACGTACATGGCCGTAACATAAACAAGAAAAACATTTCAACACCCTGTTATAGTCATTAAGCTTGTTCTTCCTCTTGGCAATAAGCTCCTGAACCCTCATTGTGTATGCTGGGTTTTTATCGCAAATAGCGTCTGAACCATGTTGTCGATTGCAATGGCTACAGTTGATCATGGTAGCTTTCTTCTTGTTGTACCTCTTGTCCTTCATTGAGTATCTTCCTTGCTGAGATTTATGATATGCTGCAGCTCCTGATTCAATAACATCGTTAACTGTTGAGCTGAAAATGTCTGGATGGGCATTATAATAACCCTCTCCCAATCGTTTCATATGTTTCAGATCCACTGGTGTTTGCTCTATTAAAAAATGTAGCCATCGGATCTGGTAGGGATTCTAGAAGTTTACTTTTTATCAGTAGGTTCACCAAAGATTGGTAGTCATTTTGAACTCTCGCTGCATCAACCCATTTTTGAAACGTGTTTTGCACTTCGGCCAGATAATCTACAAAAGTTTGACCACTCCTGGGTTTTAATCCAACATACTGTTTTCTATACCTCATTTCGTTGAGTTTATAATGATTCATTAGGTATTCCTTCATATGATCATAATCCATTTTCTCTAATTCTGGTATTGATTCCAACACTTTAAGTGGCTCAAAGCCTAAATTTTTCTGGAAAATCATCGCATAGTCTTCCTTATTAACCTTGTTCATACGCATTTGAAGTTCAAAGTTAGTCACCCAAGCAGATATATCCTCATGTTCACAGAAGTTCCGTACTATGCCAGCGTATTTCTTAAACCTGTTTTCCTCTGCCCTTAATCTTTCTTTCTCTAGGGCTGCTTCCCTTCTGGATTCATTCTCCATCTCTTTGGTCTTTATTTGCGTTTCAGCCTTCTCTTTATCTGACTGAATTTGTGCTGCCAGCCTGTCTTGCTCTAGCTGTAACCTTTTCTCCTCCATCTTTTTTTGTTGTAGTAGTTCACGCTCTTTTAATTCTTTCTATAGTACTATCTCTTTCTCTCTAAGTGCTTCTTCCCTTTCTCTGGTCTCTTTCTGAAGTAGTAACTCTTTTTCTCTAAGTGCCATCTCTTGTTCTTTTACAAGGAACTCGTGTTCTCTTGACAGTCTTCTTTCGTTTCTTTCCTCTTCTGCTTTCATCCTCTCCTTCTGCATCTCTTGTTCAGCTCTTATCTTCTCCTTCTCTTTCTCTTCCGCTTTCATCTCCTTGTGCTTTTGGTCTACATATTTCCTTAACTCCTCACCTTGAAAGCCTAACTCCTTGCCAATAGCAATCCACTCTGCCATTCCCGACATTCTTGAATAGGATGATCAAGATTCCTTGCGACTACTCCTTTTGTTCTACAATTATTCCTGTCACTCAACAATAACAATTGAATGTAAAAAATTCAACTGAACAAATAATAAACTAAGTCGTTAACTACCGACTTAGGATTAACTAATATTATTCTAAATTAACTAGGTATTCTAATATTAGTTAACCAACTCTATTGATTATCTAACTGTAATAAAATGTCTACCTTACTTCTAAATGGGCTTGCACTATCTCTGAATAAATATAGCTGTAACTGTTGCTTTAAATCCGCTGTCACTATAAGATATGCAAACTAGGACTACTGTAATGACAGCTTAATCAATAAAAAACCCTAGAATTATTCGAGAAAATATTTCACAAAAATAAATAAACAATAATTAAGTTTAATTTAATGAACTATAACTAATGTATTATTAAAGTTAATAATGTAATAAATCTCTATTTAATTATTTCACCTATAAATTAATTAAATAGATCACAACCTAATAATTCTTGTTATGAAATATAAATAATTCAAGCATCAATATCAAAAAAGATTATATAGTGTAAAATAATATAATCACAACGTAATGGTTATTACCAAATGAATAAAATACCTGGAAAATCAATATCATGATAATAAATTCTTGCAATATTATCGAGTAACTTCAATTAAGCACACGCATAATAACTATCGCTATAAATAAATTAAATTAATAAATAATTCTACTTCTATTGATGTCGGTCCTGAAGTGTAAATCGGAAACGGTGTATCAATAAAGCTAATGTGTACACACAATTGCGCAACGGTCACTTGAAACACTGTTAATCTTGCTATAGTCTAAACACACTTGAAAATTCGCCACTTGCTGAAAGCACTGTAAATATTATATCGGCTTAAGTCACTTTCTGCGGCACGGCACACGATGATAGTTATATTTCTTGCTGATTATTTTCACAAAATCCTAAGAATTCCAAATTTTTCCGATATATACTGAATATTTACTCTAAACACTATTCTCTTGAATCAAATCCATCTTGAATCAGATCAAAGTACTTTACCTTATTTGTCCTAGTTCGTGATCTCTCACGCTGTTCTGCCGTCACGCTTGCACACACTTGACCCAAATTTGCAGTGTCAGCGACGACCCAGTTCGCCAATTGTAGCAGAATTGACTATTTCAGCTGGCCTACGCAAATACCGGCTAGTTAGCGGCCAATTTCCAGCGCTGTTACAGAGATTTTCATTTCGCCGACTCTCAATGTCGTGACCCGGAAGTTTGAGTTGCCTTCTTGCTCTTGAGATCTTCTATTCGCCTTATTATTTCTCTGTGGCTCTTGGTTTTGGTTGTGTTGTATCGCGCTGTTACTTTTGACACATAGTGGACAATTTCTTCGCCGCAAATGTTATACAGCCACTTGTTCTCTTGCTCGTAGGCTTCTTGTCGATGATTTTGAAGAACGACGCAAAGTGCCACGTAACCCTGGGCAGTCTACATGTCCTTTAACCTTTCACACACGTGACGTCATAACCCAGCATCAGGCGTGTTACAGGTTGAATTTTTGCCGCAACTGTTCAGTGATTTCAGTAACTATGCGTTTCACCAGATATCGCCTCTTACATGGCTGTCTTTCACGAGTATTTTCGTTTCAGACTTTCAATAAAATCTGCATCTGCATGTAGGTGACAGTTTCCGGGATCACTTTTCCGTTACTCTGTTGTCTAAACTCTCAAACACTCGGCTTTAACTGTGCAACTGATGTTCTCACTAGATGATTTCAAAAGCTGTGCTCTCTCAGGCAGACTTCGTGTCTTACATCTCAGTCATTAGCAGGAGTATTTTCTGTCTCAGACTTCTAACGGCATTCAGCGTCTGCGTGGCAAGTAACAGTTCATGACATCATCTCGCTGTTGCTGTTCTGTTTATGCCCGGTTATCTCCGTTTTCGAGCACCCAATTGTAATAAGTGGTGTTTATATTTCTCGTTGTCTAGGTGGTGTTCATGCCTGTGTCGTAAGTGTTCTTCTCACACACTTCACGTTACATAACTGGTACAAGCCAACACCTATGTAAGCTTACGAGACATAAGTTTATTGGCATATTGACACTTACAGTAAAGTCCAGTTGTTGTCCTAATCACAGCTCTCACACACCAATTCACGCAACCTTCAACGAGCAGTTCTTCAAGCATTCACTGACCAAAGCCGGCTCCCATCAGTTCAGTTGAGGTTCTGGCCATTAAACAGACTGGTATGGTCGATCTTGGCTTCACACTTCGTCGTCAGGGTCTCCTTTCTCAACAAGCACTCTTACGTTGACATTCTCACGTTCAGTCGCACATCCTCTCGCTCCAACAGGTTGACACAAACTAAACTTGATCAGAATCATGTCTGACTTATACCACGGGTTAGTTTCACGTGGCAACACGTGGTGGTCCTTTACTTTCATGTGGCGACCTTTGGTTGCGTTGTCGTGATACCCGTGATAACTAATGGTCATCACCTATCTCAAGATCCTCGTTTAATCCGAGTATCTGGAATATCTCGGTGTTTCGGGTTAGCTTTGGGCCTTCCCCCCCAACCTTCCTAATCTGGATGAAAATATCCCCCATTACACTAAGTAAAAGGAAGTTGAAACCTACAAAATATATAACATCTAATAATAATAGAAACCAACATAATTTTGAATATCTCAGAGATAAAGAAGTTAAGGAATAATTTTAAGTTACATCAGGATCCTCGCAGGTGTTAGGGAGTTCGTGCACTATGCCGAGATTCTTCAGACTCAGACTTGAGTTAGAAGTAGAATGGAGCATTTATGGGTAACTACCCTTGTGCCATGAAGTTGATACGTTGTATAAACCACAAGCCATTTCACTTAGTCTATAATTACCAGTACCAGGTGTTGCAGCACTTAGTTGAGGAGGTAAGCACTGAAGTCTGCTGGGATCAGATCAAGGGTATTTGGAACCAATCTTGTGTAGCAGTCCTCGCTATTAAAAGAATGGAAACATAAGGCATAGATGATCCCCGAAACCCTTAAAATGATTAAAGAAAGGTAAATTGAAAAGGCGGACCTAAACAATAGCAGGAGCTGCTACAGCTAGAGCTTATAAAAATTACCTAGAAGCTAATAAGAAGTTAGGAGGCAAATAAGGGCAGATGAAAGGAATTATTTAGATGACCTAGCACAAGAAGCGGAGACAGCAGTAGCAAAAGATAACCTCAGAGACCTTTATGGTAACACAAGAAAATTAGTAGGTAATTATAGTCAGCAAACTGGAGCAATCAAAAATAGTCAAAGAAAGTTAATCTCTAACACTAAAGATCACATGGACACATCGGTTGAATATTTTGAAAAACTTCTAAATTAACCAGCCCGAGAGGTCCCTCCAGATATCCAGCTTTTAGAAATGGAACTTGATTTTAACTGTGAGATAGCATCTAAAGAGGAAATTAGGAAACAATCAATTTGCTGAAGGAAGGTGTCAGACAACCTTTTTAATAGGTGTGACAGAATTACTGTTGTTATTTGTGTTAGTTTGCCCACACTTCCGTTGACATGTAAACACTGATTACCATGTTTCCAATTCTCAAAGAATGTTTATTTAATTGAGTACTTATAATAGTTGCAAAGTTAGTCCAGCTTTCACACAAAGTTATTGACTACTTATAATAGTTGCAAAGTGAGTCCGGCTTTTACACAAAGTTATTGACTACTTATAATAGTTGCAAAGTGAGTCCAGCTTTCACACAAAGTTATTGATTACTTATAATAGTTGCAAACTTAGTCCAGCTTCCACACAAAGTTATTGACTACTGAGTACACAAAGTTATTGACTACTGAGTACACAAAGTTATTGACTACTGAGTACACAAAGTTATTGACTACTGAGTAGCCAGCCATTTATTCTTATAGCTTACCAGCACACTAAGTATACCGATAGTATGCTGGTATAGCTGTCCTGTTCACAAATCATAATAGCAGTACAAACAAAGTCATGGGAGACTAGCGGATGCACCTGGAATAATAATTATACAATATCCTGGCTACCACAAATAACTTTAACATTTAGGCTACACACAAAAAAAAAACACTTGTCACAAGCATGAACAACTACCACTGTCCTCCCCACAGCTTAAGATAAATTCCATGCCAAGCTAAAAAATTCTCACATTTTGGGAAAACCAAGCAGACACATCTGTCCACTGGGCTGTTAAACTACCAACTGCCGTGTACTGGTCCAGTCCCTTTGTAAGCTCCTCTCACCCAAAACACTCACTTACATGTCAACACACAAACCGTCTGACTAGTAATTGTTATGTCTGCTGTTTTGAGTCAAAGTCTAGTCATTTGTCATTCTCTCCCAGTGTGTGGTAAACTTGACTCATGACAGAAGGAAAGGCTGCAGGTCCAGATGGTAACCAAGTAGAAGTTATTAAGGCCGGTATAAACACATCAACAGAATTGCTACACAGATTATTCATTAAAGTCTGGGAGATGGAAGAAATAACAGCATACTGGAGAGAAGGATATCTTGTGAAACTGAAAGACAAAGATAATGAGAATAAGCCACGCAAATAGTAATCTGGTTTCTGTACCAAAACAACAGACATTATTACCCAATCATTGAACAGGGTTTCCGGGACTTGTGCATGAGGGATTCTTATCTGAATTTTGGCAGTTTGTGTCACTGGGCGTTAATTGCTCGTTGTGCTGTACTGGTGGGGATTGGGCATCAGTCAGATGTCATGAGATACAATTTGCTGTGCATTTTTGGTGAAGTAAATTTCTGTGTAATGATCATTATACTGTCAACTTTGTGAGAGAAATCTTGAGTTTATTTGTGACATTTCAGGATCGAGAAGTCAATGAAGAAGGAGTGACAGAACAGATTCCACCAACAGACACAGACATTCGAAGTGACAGAGCCCACAGTTTTATCATTGACATGATTTACCATCTAAGCACACGGATGAAAGAAACAAAAGTTGGTCCATTTTTCATCATCAGCTCGTATGAATATGACCACTTCCTGTCCAGACTGAAGTCATCAATTGAAGAGAAGTACTGTTCCCAGGATGTGGATGTGAACTTTCCCAAGGGGTCAGGCCATGATCGAGGAGAAATTGATATTCTTATAGCTCTACCTAAACATGTTATCTTTGTGGAGGTAAGTTATTGCTCTACCTAAACATGTTATCTTTGTGGAGGTAAGTTATCGCTCTACCTAAACATGTTATCTTTGTGGAGGTAAGTTATTGCTCTACCTAAACATGTTAACCTTGTGGAGGTAAGTTATTGCTCTACCTAAACATGTTAACCTTGTGGAGGTAAGTTATAGCTCTACCTAAACATGTTATCTTTGTGGAGGTAAGTTATTGCTCTACCTAAACATGTTATCTTTGTGGAGGTAAGTTATTGCTCTACCTAAACATGTTAACCTTGTGGAGGTAAGTTATTGCTCTACCTAAACATGTTATCTTTGTGGAGGTAAGTTATTGCTCTACCTAAACATGTTAACCTTGTGGAGGTAAGTTATTGCTCTACCTAAACATGTTATCTTTGTGGAGGTAAGTTATTGCTCTACCTAAACATGTTATCTTTGTGGAGGTAAGTTATTGCTCTACCTAAACATGTTATCTTTGTGGAGGTAAGTTATTGCTCTACCTTAACATGTTATCTTTGTGGAGGTAAGTTATTGCTCTACCTAAACATGTTATCTTTGTGGAGGTAAGTTATTGCTCTACCTAAACATGTTATCTTTGTGGAGGTAAGTTATTGCTCTACCTAAACATGTTAACCTTGTGGAGGTAAGTTATTGCTCTACCTAAACATGTTACCTTTGTGGAGGTAAGTTATTGCTCTACCTTAACATGTTATCTTTGTGGAGGTAAGTTATTGCTCTACCTAAGCATGTTACCCTTGTGGAGGTAAGTTATTGCTCTATTTAAACATCTTTATGGAAATTAATCCACTGATCCAGTAACCTCCTGGTGGCCAAGATACTCTGCCCCTCTTTGCTAGTGTGTTTTTGTTGATAAAGGCTCCTTCCTAAATTTCTGATTTTTTTCTTGTGTGTGTGTGTATTTGTATGTATGTTAGTGTATATTATGACTCTCTAAAGGAGGTCAACGGCCCAGCCCCATCAGTCTCTGCTCCCCTTTTTTGGTGCGGACGGCAAGACTCTTATCAAAGACAAAAAAGAAATCCTAAAGCGTTGAGTTGAACACTTTAACTAGGTACTAAACCAGGCATCACCCATTAACAATGAAGCCATCAACCGCTTGCCCCAGATTCCTATTAATGATTCACTGGCAGATCTATCTACAACAGAGGAAACCATAAAAGCTATTCATCTCCTTTCCAATGGAAAGGTGCCTGGTCCGGATGCTATTCCAGCTGAAGTCTTCAAAGTGGGTGGTCCAGTTCTGACTAAGCAGCTACACAAGATACTTCAAAGAATTTGGGAGAGTGAGACCATCCAACAGGATCTTAAGGATGCTGTAATAATTCACCTGTACAAACGTAAAGGAAACCGTCAGTCCTGCGATAATCACCAAGATATCTCACTGCTTTCATTTGCCAGAAAGACTCTTGCCAGGATTCTCCTGGGTCGTCTCACAGCTCATCTCGACAAAGGTCTCCTTCCTGAAAATTAGTGTGGTTTTAGAAAAGATCGTGGAACTGATGATATGATTTTCGCTGCTAGACAGCTGCAAGAAAAATTTCAAGAACAGAATTCGAACATGTTTTCTTACGAAAGCGTTTGACACAGTAAATCGAGAGGGGCTGTGGAGGATTATGGAAAAATTTAGCTGCCCACACAAGTTCATCCAGAAAGTGCGTCAGTTTCATGATGGCATGCAAGCAAGAGTGCAGGATAACGGCGAACTGTCAGAGTTCTTTCCTGTCACAAACGGAGTCAAACAAGGCGGTGTGCTTGCACTGTCCCTGTTCAGTCTGTTATTTTCAGCCATCCATGCTGACTGATGCCTTCCTAAATGATCACACTAGAATCAACATAAATTACCGCATGATTGGAAAGCTGTTCAACCTCAGGAGGCTGAAAGCAAAAATAAAAAAAATAAATCATACACCATCAGGGAGCTCCTGTTTGCTGACAGTTATGCCATTTATGCCAACACAGAAATGGATATGCAGCACAACATCGACAAATTCAGTGATGCCTGTACAAACTTTGGGCTCACCATCAACAAAGATAAAAGTGTAGCCATGCACCAGCCAACCCCAGGACAAAAATACATTGAGCCCAATATCACAGTGAATGGCTACAGATTAAATGTTGGCAGGAAATTTCCTTATCTAGGCAGCACCCTTTCACAGAGCGCCACAATTGATGACGAAGTAAACGCAAGGTTCTCTAGGGCTAGCCTTGCCTTTGGAATATTGTACAAAAATGTTTGGAACAGAAGTGGCATAACCCTGCAGACAAAGCTTAAAGTATACAGAGCAGTTCTATTAACTACACTGCTGTACACATGCGAAACATGAACTGTATACCAGCGCCAGGCTAGAAAGTTAAACCACTTTCACACAGTCTGCCTTAGAAGTCTAATGCAGATCAGATGGCAAGACAAAGTACCTGATACCTTAGTCCTTGAGAAAGCAGCCATGCCCAGCATCCACACTCTACTGATGCAGTATCAAATTTGTTGGGCTGGTCATCTGGCACCCATTCCAGATCACAGGCTCTTAAAAAAAACTCTTCTATAGTGAGCTGCAAAATGGGAAACGTTTCCAAGGTGGGCAAAAGAAACTCTTTAAGGACACCTTGAAGTCTTCACTCAAAGCATTTGGGAGGAATGACACCAACTGGGAGGCTGCCTCTCAAGACCGAAATGCGTGGCGTGCACAGAGGGGGGAACTACATGTGAAACAAACTGAACAGCAAGACTGATTCAGAAAAGAATGGACAGAAAAGCGACTGCAGGAGATCACCTCCCTGGCACAACGCTGATTCCCTGTCCTCACTGTCCAAGAACTTTTCGGGCCCACATTGGCCTCATCAGTCATCTTCGTACTCATACTTGATGGAAAAGAGTGGTCACCATCATTTTGATGGACAACACACACACATTAGTGTATGTGTAACTCTGTGTGTTTCTCTGTGTGTTTGTATGTCTGTATGTGTGTGTCTATTTTAGTGTGTTTGTTTGTATATGTGTGTGTGTATCTGTATGTGTGTGTTTATGTATGTGTCTGTGTGTGTGTGTGTATATGTGTAAATCTGTATGTGTTTGTCTGTATGTGTGTGTCTATATGTATGTCTGTATATGTCTTTATATATGTGTGTATGTATGTGTGTGTGTATGAATGTATGTATGTATGTATGTATGTATGTGTGTGTATGTGTGCGTGTGTGCGTGCATGTGTGTGTGTGTGTGTATTTGTGTATTGGTGCATGTGTCAGTATGTGTGTGTTTGAATGTGTGTGTTTTTATGTGTGTGTGTCTTTATATGTGTACATGTCTGTATGTGTGTGTATATTTGTATCTGTATGTGTATAATTGTCTGTATATGTGTGTATGTGTCTGGATGTGTATATTTCCTTTGAAATCAGACTGCATCTGTCTGAGATGCAAGTAACCAACACTCTGCACATAAATAAGCCAAGTATGTAAAACAGATGTGCAAGGAGCACTCAGGACTTTCTGCCATAGTTCACAGCTGATAAACTCAAAGAAGAGGAAGAAGAAAAGAAAGAGGAGGAGTGGATGCTGAGGGGATAATAATAATGAGAGAATGATGCTTGTGAGTGACCTCCTCCTGCCTATCAAACTAAACAAATGTGCAGTTGTTTCAGGAATTGTGGGAAATCTAAAGATATTTATTCACATCTTTTACTTTCGCAGGTCAAGGCCATTGGTGACAATTTTAATGACTATGAAGGAGACAAGGGCACACCAATTAAAGACAACATTAAAAAGGCAACCAATCAGCTTCTTCGAGATGAAAAAGTATTCGACCATGTAATGGCTGACCTACACCTGCAGGACTTCACAAAAACAAAAATTGCTGCATTGCCAAACTTAGAGAGGGAGTATCTGAGAGATGCACTTGATGATGATGAGCTCCGGCAGGTGTGTATTCTCCTTTGATTCACAGCATGAATATTTCTGGCTACAGTATCAGAGAGTGCAGGTTCACATAGAATATCAGACTTTCACATAGAATATCAGACTTTCACATAGAATATCAGACTCTCACATAGAATATCAGACTTTCACATAGAAATCAGACTTTCACATAGAATATCACTTTCACATAGAATTTCAGACTTTCACATAGAATATCAGACTTTCACATAGAATATCAGACTTTCGCATAGAATATCACTTTCACATAGAATTTCAGACTTTCACACAGAATTTTAGACTTTCACACAGAATATCAGACTTTCACACAGAATATCACTTTCACATAGACTTTGACATAGAATTTTACTTTCACATAGAATATCAGACTTTCACACAGAATATCAGACTTTCACATAGACTTTTACATAGAATATCAGACTTTCACATAGAACATCAGACTTTCACATAGAATATCAGACTTTCACATAGAATATCAGTCTTTCACATAGAATATCAGACTTTCACATAGAATATCAGACTTTTGCATAGAATATCACTTTCACATAGAATTTCAGACTTTCACACAGAATATCAGACTTTCACACAGAATATCAGACTTTCACATAGAATTTCACTTTCACATAGAATATCAGACTTTCACACAGAATATCAGACTTTCACATAGAATATCAGACTTTCACATAGAATATCAGACTTTCACATAGAATTTCAATTTCACATAGAATTTCACTTTCACATAGAATATCAGACTTTCACATCGAATATCAGACTTTCACATCGAATATCAGACTTTCACATATACTATCAGAAAAAAAGACAACACTAGAGCTAAATACAACTGTAGACAAAGGGATTGATTGGAGTACAGAGATGAGTGCTGTCATCAACTCATAGAAAGCAGCTGTTTTATGGCACTCTCTTGGCTTTATAATTGTAAAAGTTTCTACTCAAGGGCTTACATTTAATGACAAAAACCTCAAAAGAGACAACAAACTAAGGTACCTGGGTATCATTTTCAATAAAAGCCTGTCCTTCAGAGATCATGTGGAGGCAGTTGTGGTGAAATGCCAAAAAGGACTCAATGCTCTCAAGATTATGGCAGTAATGGACATAGAACAAAGAATGTTGTTCACAATGTTCCAGCCTTGGATCCTGTCGGTGATAGATTATGGACTTGGAATGCTTACCATATCAAAGAGTCAGCTGATGAAACTTGAACACATACAGAATGAAGCCATGCGGGTAATTCCTAGATGTACAAGAGATACCCTGGTAGTATGTATGCAATATATACTTGCACTGCCTACTATTCCAGATAGGCTTAAAGTTCTGCAAGGAAAGTTATATGTCCCAGAGTAACTGCAGACAAGAAGCAGCCCCTCGATGAAGCCCTAGGTAGAGTTAAGGGTCACAGACTGAAAAGAGGAAAGTCTTGGATGGCACAAGCTGAAGACACAATTTGACATGTGTGCAGGCTTGATAAATTTGGGCGAAGAGAGGAGTGGGTCAGAGTGTCTGAACAAGAATCACACTTGTGTAGGGTTCTAATCACTTTAGGTCGTGAGTGCAGGGACTGGCCAGCTGGTGCTGCAGGATCAGACTTGTGTAGGGTTCTAATCACTTTAGGTCGTGAGTGCAGGGACTGGCCAGCTGGTGCTGCAGGATCAGACTTGTGTAGGGTTCTAATCACTTTAGGTCGTGAGTGCAGGGACTGGCCAGCTGGTGCTGCAGGATCAGACTTGTGTAGGGTTCTAATCACTTTAGGTCGTGAGTGCAGGGGACTGGCCAGCTGGTGCTGCAGGATCAGACTTGTGTAGGGTTCTAATCACTTTAGGTCGTGAGTGCAGGGACTGGCCAGCTGGTGCTGCAGGATCAGACTTGTGTAGGGTTCTAATCACTTTAGGTCGTGAGTGCAGGGACTGGCCAGCTGGTGCTGCAGGATCAGACTTGTGTAGGGTTCTAATCACTTTAGGTCGTGAGTGCAGGGACTGGCCAGCTGGTGCTGCAGGATCAGACTTGTGTAGGGTTCTAATCACTTTAGGTCGTGAGTGCAGGGACTGGCCAGCTGGTGCTACAGGATCAGACTTGTGTAGGGTTCTAATCACTTTAGGTCGTGAGTACAGGGACTGGCCAGCTGGTGCTACAGGATCAGACTTGTGTAGGGTTCTAATCACTTTAGGTCGTGAGTGCAGGGACTGGCCAGCTGGTGCTACAGGATCAGACTTGTGTAGGGTTCTAATCACTTTAGGTCGTGAGTGCAGGGACTGGCCAGCTGGTGCTACAGGATCAGACTTGTGTAGGGTTCTAATCACTTTAGGTCGTGAGTGCAGGGACTGGCCAGCTGGTGCTGCAGGATCAGACTTGTGTAGGGTTCTAATCACTTTAGGTCGTGAGTGCAGGGACTGGCCAGCTGGTGCTGCAGGATCAGACTTGTGTAGGGTTCTAATCACTTTAGGTCGTGAGTGCAGGGACTGGCCAGCTGGTGCTGCAGGATCAGACTTGTGTAGGGTTCTAATCACTTTAGGTCGTGAGTGCAGGGACTGGCCAGCTGGTGCTGCAGGATCAGACTTGTGTAGGGTTCTAATCACTTTAGGTCGTGAGTGCAGGGACTGGCCAGCTGGTGCTACAGGATCAGACTTGTGTAGGGTTCTAATCACTTTAGGTCGTGAGTACAGGACTGGCCAGCTGGTGCTACAGGATCAGACTTGTGTAGGGTTCTAATCACTTTAGGTCGTGAGTGCAGGGACTGGCCAGCTGGTGCTACAGGATCAGACTTGTGTAGGGTTCTAATCACTTTAGGTCGTGAGTGCAGGGACTGGCCAGCTGGTGCTACAGGATCAGACTTGTGTAGGGTTCTAATCACTTTAGGTCGTGAGTGCAGGGACTGGCCAGCTGGTGCTGCAGGATCAGACTTGTGTAGGGTTCTAATCACTTTAGGTCGTGAGTGCAGGGACTGGCCAGCTGGTGCTGCAGGATCAGACTTGTGTAGGGTTCTAATCACTTTAGGTCGTGAGTGCAGGGACTGGCCAGCTGGTGCTGCAGGATCAGACTTGTGTAGGGTTCTAATCACTTTAGGTCGTGAGTGCAGGGACTGGCCAGCTGGTGCTGCAGGATCAGACTTGTGTAGGGTTCTAATCACTTTAGGTCGTGAGTACAGGGACTGGCCAGCTGGTGCTACAGGATCAGACTTGTGTAGGGTTCTAATCACTTTAGGTCGTGAGTGCAGGGACTGGCCAGCTGGTGCTACAGGATCAGACTTGTGTAGGGTTCTAATCACTTTAGGTCGTGAGTGCAGGGACTGGCCAGCTGGTGCTGCAGGATCAGACTTGTGTAGGGTTCTAATCACTTTAGGTCGTGAGTACAGGGACTGGCCAGCTGGTGCTACAGGATCAGACTTGTGTAGGGTTCTAATCACTTTAGGTCGTGAGTGCAGGGACTGGCCAGCTGGTGCTACAGGATCAGACTTGTGTAGGGTTCTAATCACTTTAGGTCGTGAGTACAGGGACTGGCCACAGCTGGTGCTACAGGATCAGACTTGTGTAGGGTTCTAATCACTTTAGGTCGTGAGTGCAGGGACTGGCCAGCTGGTGCTGCAGGATCAGACTTGTGTAGGGTTCTAATCACTTTAGGTCGTGAGTGCAGGGACTGGCCAGCTGGTGCTGCAGGATCAGACTTGTGTAGGGTTCTAATCACTTTAGGTCGTGAGTGCAGGGACTGGCCAGCTGGTGCTGCAGGATCAGACTTGTGTAGGGTTCTAATCACTTTAGGTCGTGAGTGCAGGGACTGGCCAGCTGGTGCTGCAGGATCAGACTTGTGTAGGGTTCTAATCACTTTAGGTCGTGAGTGCAGGGACTGGCCAGCTGGTGCTGCAGGATCAGAAGTTCAACAAATGATTCATGGCAATTTCCGCTCAGGTGATGCGATTATCTATAAAGTGTGTTGAGGGGTAGATGAAGTGCATGGGGGTTTATAGCAAAAGCGAATGGACGTTGCTTAGTGCAACTAAACCTTTCATATGATATTGAACATCTAGTTAGAGATTGGAGGTGGAGGCAGTTACTGCCACCTTCCACTGGCTGTAGAATCTGCTGTACACACGTCATAATTGTAACTGACTCACAGAGCATGTTGGAAATAGTGGATACAGGCATGCTCCATGCAGAGTGGCAAACACCACTTTAGATATACAGTATCACTCTTTTACACACAATTCAGGCTTTTACACACAATATTAGGCTTGCACACATGCTATCAGGCTTTCACACACAATTTTAGGCTTTACACACAATATCAGACTTTCACACACAATGTCAGGCATTTACACATAATATCAGACATTCACACACAATATTAGACATTCACACACAATATAAGGCTTTCACACACAATATCAGACTGTTACACACAATATTAAACATTCACACAAAATGTCAGGCTTTCACTCACAATATTAGGTTTTCACTCACAGTATCAGGCTTTCACACACAATATCAGACTTTCAATATCAGGTTTTTATGTGCAATATCAGCCTTTCCCAAACAGTGTCAGGCTTGCACTCAATGTCATGCATTCACACACAATATAAGACTTTTACATGTAATTTCATACTTTCACACATAATACCAGGCCTTTACACACAATATCAGACTTTCACACACAGTATCAGACTGTCACACATGATATAAGACTTTTATAACAAAATCACTCACAATATCAGGCTTTCACTCACAATATCATACTTTTGCACATAATATCAAACTTTCACATGCAATATCAGGATAGCACATGCAATATCAGACTCTCTCGCACAATGTCATACTTTCACACAATATCAGACATTCACACACAATATCAGACTTTCACATGTAATATCAGTCTTTCCCACAAAATATCAGACTTTCACACAATATCAGGCCTTCACAAACAATACCAAACTTTCACACATAGTATTGGACTTTCACATACAATATTGGACTTTCACA